GGGAAGGCAGGGGAGGGTCTGGCTGGGCCAGGGAGTGCTGCAGAAAGTCAGCGAGACCTTAAAAAGGAGTCTTGAGGTCTCCCCCCCCCAACTGCTTCCTTCCTCCTGCCCCCCGGCCCGTCTGCAGAGATGCTCACCACAGAAACTAACCCGACGCAGGAGGCAGCAACCACCAGCAGCTCTGCTTAGGTGGGGGTCGGCTTCTTCCTCCCTGCACCCACCCTGGGGCCCGGGGCCCTCCCCTCTGCCTTACAGAGATGCTTAGAGCCTGCTGCAGCACATGCCCTGGCGGGTCCAGGTAATACTTGGTTCAGGGTGATCTCCAGGCTGGCAGCCTCTTCACTACAGCCACGGTCTGTGACACAGCAGGCTGGGTGTCAGTCCCCCTTCCTCCCCCGTGGGGACCACATCTCAGCCCCAGGCAGCTGGGAACAATTGCAAAAGAGACTGGTGGTTTCCACCCCCGGCCTCTGACTGTTTGCTCACAGCGAGGGGCAGCCAGCGTGCTCAGCGAGCACAAGCCCCGCGGTTCCCGTTCACTCCTTCCCAGCCGCTTTGGTCCAAGCTGGCGTCACTGCACAGGCGCCACATCAAGGTGCGGTGGGTTGGGTCCACCGCACGTTGTAACAGGGGCCTTCGAATTAGCCGAGACGCTTTCTAAGACAACGAGCAAAGCTGGGCCCAGCAGGGCCATGACGGGAATTGACCTACCATGAGTCAAACGATTTCCAAGCCGTGCCAGATCTTTACCCCTCCAAACTATAACTGAACGATTTCCTCTCGTGAGAGACATAAAGCTCAAGGTTTAATTCCCCCCACCCCTCAAAAAAAGGCATGTTAGCTTTAACATGAAATCAGGACATTCTGCCTGGCTATATAAAATGTCCAACCAATCCCTTCTTCAAACCTGCACAATGCTTGACACCCTGTGGCCCTGAGTTCCACAGTTCATTGTGCTTTGTGCAAAACTCTTTTCTTTGTCTGTTCCCACTAGAGTCACTTCTTTGAACACCTCCTTGTTCTTGTGTTGTGTGACAGGGAGGACAGAAGCTGGGTTCCCAACCTCCCTTCTCTAGACAATTTATAATGACAGGTAGCAACACATGAAGTTAAGGTTGCCCGACATGTCCCACTCTAAGGCCCTGTTATCTGATGCCCAATGTGGACCGTTCAAGGTGAAATTATCCATGCTGCATTTCTGCCACTGGCTGAATTTTGGGGGGAAAGTTTCAACAAAAATGGTTCTCCATTCAGCTTTTTGTCTCAACTACAAAAAAACTCTTTCAACTGTTTCACTGAGAAGCCCCAGATTCGACATGCTGTGGAGCAGATCGAAATCTGGTGGCGAGATCTCCTTCGTGGCGGGGCTATGCCTTAAGCACCCAACATGGGCCTAGCTTCCATGCTTTGAAACTGCAGTTTGCACATGCTCCCTCCAGATTTATTAGTGTGGTGTTATCTGATTAAAACAGAACCATATAGATCACTGTTGCAACCACTGTTATCTATGTGCAACAAACTGTGTACAAACGGTAGCCGCGTGAGGCGTCCCTGGACAGGTTACGTTTTGCTGGTTAGAGGCACGTGTCTGTTTTGCATTTGCAGGTCTGAGCGTTGGCTGTGTGCTTGTATTTCAGTGGGCTTATAGAACCATAGAGCTGGAAGAGACCTCAGGAGGCCATCAAGTCAAGCCCCCTGCCCAAGGCAGGACCAATCCCAACTAAATCATCCCAGCCAGGGCTCTGTCACCTCTAGGGATGGAGATTCCACCCCCTCCCTAGGGAACCCATCCCAGTGCTTCACCACCCTCCAAGGGAAATAGTTTTTCCTAATATCCAACCTAGGGCTGTCCACTGCATTGCCTAGTGCACTTGTCTGGGAGCTGACCTTGTCCGTGCAGACAGAGGCAAAGAGCATGGTTTGGTCTGGTTCTGTGCAGCACCAATGGGGCACCTGCCAGCATTTGGCAAAGGGACAATTCGAGCGGAATGGCCCATCAAGGAGCACGTGACTCACACTGAGCCTTGGGAGACACGAGCCCACGTCCGATGAGCCTTGCTAGGAGCATCCAAACTAGCCAGGGAGCAACGATGTCCACCCGAGTTGGGCCTGGACAGGCGATTTGCCCATGTGACGGCTCATCTTGCTACCGTGCTTGTCCACAGTGGGAGCAATGGGGTTCCCTCCACGCGGCAGAGGCTATAACAAGACCTGGAAAATGTCATGGCTCCTTCCCCACTCTGGCATGATAAATGCAGAAGTGGGGGCCAGCAAGTGTACCCCAAAGCCTTATCTACCAGGCTTTGGTATAAAACTTCCCCCAAAATCTTAAAAACCTAGATTTTGGGAATCAAAGTTTCGCTGCCACCACCCACATTAATAACAAGATTAGGGGGAAGATCATTTGGGAAATCTCACCCCTATTATAAAAATCAGGACACACAAGGAACCACTGCCAGGTTATTGAAAAGAAAAAAGAAAACTTTTATTACAACAATATTCCTGTTGCAAGCATAAGGATCAGATGGAAAGGTAACAAAATATACTCATGGAAGAATTACACCATGGGCTAGAGCTTAGTTAAAAAGAAAAGCCAAACATCTCTTAAGCAGTGCCAGATATGAGATCCCACACCCAACCCTTAAAACAATAAAGCCTAAGGAAACTACCTAAACTTTACCCTACTTACAGAAAGTGAAGAATTGTTTCTTGGAGAGAGAGAGAGAGAGACAGAGAGAGACATGCTTGTCCCTCCCTGTAGCTGCAGAGGACTCACCCAGAGAGATAAAGGAGGAAAAAACCCAAATTCCTTTGTCCCAGTTTGAAAGTCCCACCTGCATTCCTATTGGCCACTCCACCCGGCTAGGTGTAGTTAACCGCTTAATCCCCAGGCTGCTGGCTAACCCTCAGAATCATGACAAGCCCCATGTCTCCTCTTTCCTGCTCCAGCTTCTTCACTGCTCGCGCTTCGGGACTGTGGCCTTACCCTGCTGGGAACGCGTAACAAAGGGACTGGGGTCCTTCCTGGGATTTGGAAGTAACCAGGGACTTGACTTAAGCCAGCAGCTTCCTCCTGCTGAGCCAAGAACGCCCCATGGTGGCATGTACTCGCTTCCTTTGCCCATGTAAACTCGCCCTCTCTGCCTTTCTTTTAAACCTTCCGTTGTTAGGCCCTGGTGGCTTGGCGCCAGCGCGATTCAGGGTGAGCGCTCCGTGATTTATTGAGCGGGGCACGTGGCACTGATGAGACTGGTTTCGATAACACTCATCCCTACGAGCCAGGCTTGTGGTGGAGTGGCAGAGGAACTGGAGTATCTGAGGAGACTGCTTTTCTGACTTCTGTTAGCTAGGGTGGCTGCACAGTTCTCTTTGAGGCTGGCATGGTGTATCTGATAAGTAG